TATCTTTCTACGGGAGCACAAATGAGCGGGAATGAGAAGTAGCTCATCCTTTTTGATGGCTTGATGGTTGAATAATATTCCCCTGTTGGAAATTATTGTGTGGTAAACATCCTTGTGAATACCTCTTTGTATACTAGACTGAATATTTCAGATAAATTCCTGCACGTGGAACTCTGGTTCGGCGACATGGTCACTATTCATCTTCTAAATACTGTCAGATTGTCTTCTGAAGAGGTTGTGCCAATATATGGTTTGAAACAGTTTCCCCACACCATGGCCAACCAGGAATAGTGTCATTCTGTTCATTTCTGCTAACCAGGCAAAAATGATACCCTTTATTGTGATGACTTTCTTCCTTCATTCCTTGCTTTCTTTTAATGAGATGAAGTATCTTTGATAGTGTGTTTCTTCTTGTGAACTATCTTTTTATACTCTTTATCCATTTTTCTGTTGTTTTGTTTATGCCATTTGTTTTAGATGTTTTATCCCAGATTGTTACTTGTCTTTGCCTTTATTTTATAGTGTTTGCCAAAGAGAATTGCAGTCTGAAATAGCTGGATCTGTTCATCTTTTCATCTCAAGTTTCTAGATTTCCCTTCATGCTGAAAAAGGCCTCCATATCCCAAGGTCCTCTTCCGTTTTCTTCTAATATGTTTTTTTAGCTCTATTTCATATGCTTAGATTTTTTGTGAATATACAGTTTCTTCTTATACATGGTGTAAAGTAGGGATCAAACTTACTTTCTTCCATATGGATGGCCAGTTGTCTTGCTTTGAAGTACATTTTCTCTCTCACTAAGATGAAAATCCAGACCCAGATGGTTTTATGAGTGAGTCCTTTTAAGAGACTGATTATTTTGATGTTGTTTATAATATTCCAGAATCTAGAGAAGGATAGGATCCTTCCATATTTCTAATATCAAAACATGAAAAATTAACACAAAAAATAAAACAGTAGGTCAGACTGACTTAGGAATGTAAATTAATACTCTAAGTATTAGCAAATAGAATCCAAGGGTCTATTAAAAAAGAAATACACTGGGGCGCCTGGGTGGCTCAGTTGGTTAAGCGTCTACCTTCGGCTCAGGTCACGATCCCAGGGTCCTGGGATCAAGGCCCGCGTCAGGCTCCCTGCGCATCGGGAAGCCTGCTTCTCCCTCTCCCACTCCCCCTGCCTGTGTTCCCTCTCTCACTGTCTCTCTTTCTCTGTCAAATGAATAAATAAAATCTTTAAAAAATAATAAAAATAAAAGAGTAAGACACCAATATTAAAAGAATAATACATTGAGATTAGGAATGATTTATTCCAAAAAGGCAAGGATTGTACAGTATTAGCATATCTACTAATGTAATTAATATACCATTCATAGAATGAAGGAGAATGATCATACGGTCATTATTAATAGATATTCTTAAAATATTTGATAAAAACTAATTACCCATTTTGAGTGGTAACTGATTTTTGAAAGGAACTTCCTAAACCCATCAATAGAGTTAATTATATTATTATTTTAACTCCCTAAACATTTGTTTGATGACCATAGTAGGTACACTGATTAAAGTATTAAAAATGGTAACAGTCCTACTAAAGTGTTTTAGGATGGGTAATCAGTCAGAAATCACAGCCTCTTTAGGACAGCTTAAAGCAGTGCAATAGTCAGATTAAAATTTTCATCCCATATGATGCTAGGCTTTATTTCAAATGTTGGCGAGAAGATGGGTGTGTGCCCATACGCTGTGTATGTGTATAAACCACTTAGCAGAACTTTACGGACCGTTTACACCTACCCCTTTTTTTGCAGTATATCAGAGAAGCAGGGAAATGTTCCCCCAGCTAGAAATATTAATAAAGCAGAAATAAATTATGCAAGTGAAAACTAGAGCCCAGAACTGGATGCTCTTCTTAGCAAATGTAGTAAGTACCTTCTTTCTGGGGAATGACTGATAATTGAATTTTGCCGGGTTACCTTCTGGCAATAATTGCCTTAAAATTGTCAATTTGGTGTTTGTTAAGCCCCAGTTGTTATGGGAGCAGTATTGTGATGGGTATTTACAGACGTAACCTTGGATAAAATCAGGTCCATGCCTCCTAGAACGAACCATATTATGAACTATGTTACAAGGTATGATTTTCAGGGGGCAGTGGGTTCAGGGAGGTGATGGCATCAGAACCAGCCTTTTGTAGGATAAATAGGATTTCCACATGCGGAGAGGAGAAGGAAGAGCTTCCCAGGCTAGAACAGTGCCAACTAAAGCATGAAGGCAGGAGCTGCTAGAGGGTATGTTTATATAATTGAGTGGTGCTCAGACTAGCCAAGGGTTAGTGTTACTTGAAAAACTTTGTTAAAAAAAAAAGAGAGAGGGGCGCCTGGGTGGCTCAGTCGTTAAGCGTCTGCCTTCGGCTCAGGTCATGATCCCAGGGTCCTGGGATCGAGCCCCATATCGGGCTCCTTGCTCGGCGGGAAGCCTGCTTCTCCCTCTCCCACTCTCCCTGCTTGTGTTCCTTCTCTCACTGTGTTTCTCTCTGTCAAATAAATAAATAAAATCTTTGAAAAAAAAAAAAGAGAGAGAAGAAATAAAAAGTGAAAGAAGCACTCCAGGCCTCCTACCATGGAGATCTAATTTGGTGAGGGAGAGATAAGGCCAAGACACATGTTTTTTGGGTTGTTTTCTTTTTTTAAGATTTATTTATTTATTTATTTGAGAGAGAGACCAGGGAGAGGGAGAGAATATCAGGCAGGCTCCCTACTGAGCAGGGAGCCAGCCGCGGGGCTTGATCTTACAACCCTGAGATCATGACCTGAACCAAAATCAAGAGTCAGTCACTCAACCTACTGAGCCACCCAGGCGCCCCTAGACACATATTTTTCTAAAATCCCCATGGATGATTCTCATGCACAGAGTGGATACTGTGCTGTGGTCTAGTATGTGACAAGGCTGTAAGAGTTATGGAGATACTATGGGATATGCTGCTGGAAAGATATATCAGAGCCAGTGATAACTGAGTAACACTATTTGGTTTTTGTTTGCTTCTTTTTTTTAAATTTCTGTTACATCACCACCATTCCTCCATTAGATATCAACCAGATATCCCTTACACAAAATTTGACCTCTTGTGTGAATTCAAAGCAAAACCTATTAAACTAGATGAGGAGGAGGAGGAACCAGTCAAGAATCTTGTTTCAGTAAGATATTGCTGTATAATCTCCCCCAAAACTTAAAACAACAATCATTTTATTATCACTTATAATCCTGTGAGTTGACTGGACTCAGCTGGGCAGTTCTGCTCCCTGGGACATTGGCAGGGGCGGGCCACAGTCATCTGGCAGATTGGTCCAACTTGAATGTCCAAGATGGCTCATTCGCATGGCTTTCAGCTGAGAATTCAGCTGGGGCTGTCCTCTGGAAAATCTTCTTGGGCTTCTCACTGTGTGGCATTTGGACTCCAGAGGAAGCATCTCAAAAGCAAGCCTTCAAAAAGGCCCAGACTACTGGATGCCTGGCTGGCTCAGTCAGTGGAGCGTGCGGCTGGACTCTTGATCTCGGGGTTGTGAGTTCAAGCCCCACATTGGGTGTAAAGATTACTTAAAAATAAAATCTTAAAAAAAAAAAAAAAAAGGCCCAGACTACTAGGCTTCTTCTAACCTAGTTTTGGTAGTTCAGATACATTCTGTTAGTTTAGTCGACCGACTCACTGAGACCAATTCAGTTTCAATGGAATGTGACTTAAATTCTGTCTCTTTCTTTTTTATGATTTTTAAAATTTATTTATTTGAGAGAGAGAGAGCGCGGGAGGGAAAGGGGGAGAGAATCAGAGGGAGAAGCAGACTCCGCGCTGAGCACAGAGCCCAACGTGGGGCTCAGTCTCACGACCACGAGATCATGATCTGAGCCGAAACCAAGAATCTAACACTTCATCAACTGAGCCACCCAGGTGCCCCAGACTCCCATCTCTTGCTGGGAAGGGCAGCGTGCGTCTACAAGGAAGGAAGTAGATGGCAATCATGTTCTGGAGAGTTGCGCCTGCGATCTGAATGCAGCAAGTACTATAGCATCAAAATACATAAAGGAGAATTGTAGGAAATTTAGACAGATGTCAACAAAAGTGCAATTAGACAAAACAATAAGTAAAGATAAGAGGAACCTGAATAATATAAAATGCTTATGTAGATTTATGTATTGAATTCCTTCTCTGACAGTGAAGAATATTATTCCTTTATTTCAGGCATCCATAGAATCTCTGCTTCCCCCCAAAAGAGAAGCACTGAACCCCTCTATACTGGTCTGTTTCCTGACCTCAGCATTGCAGAAATAGTTAATGGTGGTGTTTGTTTCATCTGTTACCACACACTGCTCTTGTATTAAGTGAGGTTCTTCCTATTGGGGAATCCTGTCCTCTGGATGACTTTTTTTACACATAGTGTAAACAATTGAGTTACACATTCTCTCTTAAGTTCTTGGTTTCTTATTTGTTTTCTGAAAAGAGTGGCATTGAAGGGGGCTTTATTTTGATTCTCCACAGTCTCATGATAAGAGTAGTTTTGACTTGTCCTGGGTGCTCTTTATACCTCAAGGTCAACATCCAGCAACCACTGGAATCCTCTTGTAATTTCCCAATAATGCTGACGTAGGAACTGAGCTGGAATCCTTGCCAACACTTGTTTTCCATGTATTGTTTTTTTTTTTAAGCCCCTTCAGAAAAAAAATAATAGTGTTAAGATCTGTGTTTTTTTTTTTTTTAAGTCTTTGCTTTGCTTTCTGAAACTCAGTTATTTTACCATCCTCGTCAGAAACTGGAATCTGAGGTGGAAACCCAGGTTGTGGGGATGATGTCATTTCCTGGCCCATCAGCGATGAATCCGAGTTACTTACTGCTTCTGTCTCAGTGTCCCCATATGATGCCAGGCACTCTTTCTGAACTGGCATTAAACCGGCTGAGATGAGAAGTTTAAGCAACCAGCCATCTTCCTCAGTAACACTCCGATCCGTTTGCCATTGCAGGTCGTCACGCTGTGGTACAGAGCTCCAGAAGTCTTGCTTCAGTCCAGCTACGCCACCCCTGTGGACCTCTGGAGTGTTGGCTGCATATTTGCAGAAATGTTTCGTAGAAAGTAAGACATGCCTTTTATTTCACTCTGTCTTCCTTAGAAAGAGACTTTTTGGGTCTTCGATAATTTAAGTGGCAGCATAGCATTTCTCTTGCAAGTAAGGTCATGATATGTAGATATATAGATAGCCAGATCCACCTGCTTCAGGCTGCCACGTCCAAGCCTGTCCTGGAAACGCTTTCTCAGTCCTGATTAGTGTAGTTCTGTAGGACTCTAGCTTCCAGCTCTTGGAAACTCTGTTTGGAAAGAAACATGCCATTGTTCTTACAACTTATTTTTGTTGGTGATGATAGGACCTAGAAATATCCTCAAGGTGGACCCTGTCCACAGGAGAAGGACCAGGGCTATTACATGTATGGAAATTTGGATGGTGAGGATAGTTGCTTATGCAGAATGTTCAGACTGAAAAGGACAAGGCGAGGAAGATGTCAGCCCTGCTTCAGGATGCTGAAAATATGAGGAGAGATTAGGCATATTCAGGCACGACAGAGAGCAAAACAAGGACCAGGGATATAGAAATGACAGAAGTAAAGGTTTTTGCTCAGACATGGGAAAAATCTAATATTAGTTATCTGAAGAGAAGATTGGGGTTCGTGAAAATAGTGCATTCTCACTGGGTGTCCAAGAAGAAACCAGACCACCACACATTGGAGGTGTTTTCAGTGGCATTAATAGAGTGGGTGGGTGGGCGACATGACCTCCAGGGACCTCTGACTCTGAGAGTCTGTGATTCATTTGTTTGATTTTCAGGTCACAAGAAATAGCCAAACAATATAATAAAGATCTGCACAGAAAATAATCCATACCTGGATACTAAATTCAGCAAATCAAAATTAAGCAGAGAACCTCATCATAATCTATTAACTCCTTGTTTTCTATTTTTATTTCCATGGGAAACGTGACTTGGAAAGTTGAGTATATTCCTATTGCACATGTTACGTTCAAAATGTTAGCTACATGGTAGCTCATGAGGAAAAGAAGTGGTCGGCCATTCCTTCCTTGCCTGTCTGTTCTTTTGTTTTAACCAAATGAAGTTTGGTGCATGTCATAAATTTTGGGACCTATTTTTAGAACTCAGCATTGTTTTTATATGTAGCTCACAGGAGGTGATCATGCCAGAGAAATCAGAGTACATAGATGTTCTGTGCTGGCCTACTATGTGCCAAGTACAGGACCAAACCTCTTCCCTTCTGTTACTTTTTATGCCTCCCCATGGAAGATAACTGAGATGCAGTGTTAAATTTATTTGTCTAACATCAAGCAGCTAAAAAGTAGCAGGGGTACTGCTCCAAATGAAGTCTTGTGTGTTTTCATCCAGTGTTGTTTTTTCTACCAGGGAGGGAGGAAAAAAAGTAATATTGAATTCAGCTTCAATATTTGCCAAACAGGCTAAATAAGTGGTTTGGAAGTGTAGTTCTTGGACCAACAACATCAGCATCTCTAAAGACCTTGGTAGAAATGCAAATTCCCACCTCCCACGGCCCACTGGATCAGAAGTTCTTGGGCTGGGGCTCAGCAACCTGTGTTTGAACAAGCCCTCGAGGTGATCCTAATTCACCCTTGAGGGTAAGAACCACTGGGCTGGATGACAGGATCACCAGGGATGAGCAATCTTTAAACATGCAACTCCCAGACCTCTCCCTTAGAGATTCTGATTCATAACTGGGCTGGGGCCAGGCATTCTTGTTTTTAAAAGCACCTCATGTAATTCTTTTCATCAGACAAGTGTAGAAAACATTGGGTTAAAAGATTATGGTCAGGAGTGCCTGGGTGGCTCAGTCAGTAAAGCGTCCGACTCCGAATTTGGACTCAGGTCATGATCTCAGGGTTGTGAGATCAAGCCCCGCGGCTGGCTCCCAGCTTGCTGGGAGGCTGCCTATCCCTCTCCCTCTGATTCCCCCCACCAGCCTGCTCGAGGGCGTACACGTGCACACGCTCTCTCGCTCTCTCTCTCAAATAAATAAATAAATAAATAAATAAATAAATAAATAAATAAATAAAATATTTTAAAAAAATAAAGGATTATGGTCAGAACAGGAAATAAGCAGGGTGGAAGTCAGGACAGTCATTCTAGTTCATCCCATAAATAAGTTCATTCAGCTGAGAGCTGATTAGAGAAGTGTATATTAGAATTATATTTATATATCTAGAATTGTCCTCAAATACAAAGATTGAGTCCTTCTTTTGTAATGGGAGGAGAGTGGTCAGTTATTTTTCAATAGTATAAGACTTGAATACCAGCCACTCTTGACGATAAAACCAATATTTTCCTGAAAGATGTTAAAAGAAAATAAAATTTAAGATATGTAGTGTTAGGCATTCACTAGTAAGGAATTTGCTGTATTTCTAAGTATAGCTAGTCACTACTTATGGAACAATTGCAACCTGAATTTTCATTTTATAGCATTAAAACATTTTCCCACTGAAGTGGCCCAGTCTAGCTTGCAGAATCCTATATAACCTGGAATATATATGAAACGTTATTTGTGCTAATTCATCAAAACCTATTTTCTGTTTGTAACATTTTTTCTATGGAAAAATTCATTCTCTGTTCCAATCCAAGAGGACAGGGATATCATTCTCTTCACCCCAGCACAGGAAGGGGGGACTCAATGTTGGAGGCTCAGGGAAAGGCTCCTTTTATGATGGCAGCTAGAGCTGGCTTCAGTTTGCTGAGAAAGTGAGATGGTGGGTAGAGACCCATTGACTCTTTAGATGTGCACAAAAAAAAGTTACCATCTCTCTTGGAGCCTTGCGTAGAAGTAGTAAATTGAGAATTAATTGCCTGAAGGAGGAAGCAATATCAGAATCCAGGCCCATGTGCCTTTATGGCTGAAGGAGAATGAATCCAGGCCTACCACACATCATTCCTGGGCTGGGTGCCCTATCTCCTAGGTAGTTCCTGCTGGTTTGGCTTTGACCTTGAATATGGCCGTGGAACCTGACCCTTGTTCCTGCTCTGTTCATGTTTGGTATTTCCTATGATAACAGCAAGATATCTGAATGTGCATGCTGCTTACTCATGCCAGATGAGTTCTGGGGTCCAGCCCCCAGCTTGACCTGATTCTAGCTTGACTCCTGAGTCCGTGTTGGCACATCTATTGCAGTGTCCAGCTGAGAATTTACAAGCCACAGATTCTGAAAGCAGACTCCCTCATTACCTTAGGCTAACCCTAAATCAGAGAATCGTGGCACGTGTCCACTCTGGGTTCCTACTTGTTACTATAGCAATATTTCCCAAATGTTGTCATCTTTTTTAACACCTTCATGGTTTTTGCCATATTCTTGAAACAACTATACTTACATAATTTTTTACCCTAAACAATTTACCTTTTCTTAATTGAAGTATAATTGACATACAATATTATATTAGTTTCAGATGTACAACCTAGTGATTGAACATTCATGTGTATTACAAAGCAGTCACCATGTTAAATCTAGCTACAATTTGTCACCATTCAAAGTTATGTATTACTAACTACTGGAATACCTCATTTTATTGTGCTTTGCAGATACTGCATTTTTTACAAATTAAGGTTTGTGGCGATCCTGACTCAAGCAAGTCTGTCAGCAACATTTTTCCAACAGCATTTGCTTATAAATTCATGTCTCTGTCACATTTTGGTAATTCCTGCAGTATTTCAAACTCTTTCATTATTATCATGTTTGTTATGGTGATCTATGATCAGTGATTATGACTCACTAAAAACTCATGATGGTTAGCATTTTTTAGCAATAAAGTATTTTTAATTAAGGTATATACATGGGTTTTTTTTAGACATAGTGCTGTTGCACACTTAGTAGACAACAGCATATGTAAAAACATGACTCTTATATGCCCTAGGAAACCAAAAAATTCATTTTATTTGCTTTACTGATACTCACTTTATTATAGTGGTCTGGAACCAAACCCACAATATCTCCAAGATTTGCCTGTATTTCATTTATTTCTGCTCTCATCTTTATTATTATCTTCCTCCTACTAACTTTAGGCTTTGTTCTTTTTCTGTTCCTTTAGCTTGTTTCTTGAGGTGTAGTAGACCTGTATCACTGTAAAATTCTGTCGTAGAGGGGCGCCTGGGTGGCTCAGTCATTAAGTGTCTGCCTCCGGCTTAGGTCATGATCCCGGCGGACCCCACATCAGGCTCCGCAGGAAGCCTGCTTCTCCCTCTCCCACTCCCCCTGCTTGTGTTCCCTCTCTCGCTGTGTCTCTCTCTGTCAAACAAATAAATAAAATCTTTAAAAAAAAAAAAATTCTGTCATAGAACTGCTTTTGCTGTGTCTCTTAGATTTTGGACTATTGTGTTTACCTTTTCATTTGTTGCAAGGCATATTTTGATTTTCTCTTTGATTTTTTTCATTGACCCATGGGTTGTTTAGTAGCTTGTTGTTTAGCCTCCAAGTGTTTGTGTTTTTTCTAGTTTTCTTCTTGTAATTGATTTTTAGTTTCATACCACTGGTTTGAAAAGATGCTTTTAATCCTTAATTTATTAAAACTTGTTCTGTGGCTTAACGCGTGATCTATCCTGGAGAATGTTCCATGTGCACTTGAAAAGAATGTGTATTCTGTTGCTTTGGGATGTTATGTTCTGTAAATATCTGTGAAGTTCATCTGGTCGAATGTGTCATTTAGGCCAGTGTTTCCTTATCGATTTTCCGTCTAAATGATCTATCCATTGGTGTAAGTGGAATGTTAAAAGTCCCCTGCTATTATTGTATTACTGTCAGTTTCTCCCTTTATGTTTGCTAATAATTTGCTTTATATGTTTAGGTGCCCCATGTTGGGTGCATAGATATTTACATGTGTTATATCTTCTTGTTGGATTGATGCCTTTATGATTATATAACATTTTTCTTTGTCTCTTATTACAGTTTTTGGGGTTTTTTTTTTAAGATTTTATTTATTTATTTGAGAGAAAGAGAGCACAAGCAGGGGGAGCAGCAGAGGTGGGGGAAAAGCAGGCAGCCCGATGCAGGGCTCAATCCCAGGACCAGAGATCATG